CCTCACAAAAAGAATATCAATTTTATTTTTCATTCAATAAACCTGAAAATCCCGAAAATCCCTAAAATCCCCAAAATTGACCCCCAAATTTTTGTTTTTGTTCTAAAATTCGTTCATTTATTTTATGCAATCAATAATCTCACACAAATATTGTGTATATATATTCTCATATTCATCACAAAAAACATATTTTTATAAATATATATATTCATTAAAAACAAAAAAAACCTAAATTCCTAAAATCAAGCTCCAAAATTTCTTTTTGTTATTAAAAAATCGTTTTTTTATTTGCAATAAATAATACTAGTCAAATATTGTCTGAAAAATCTTAAAAGAGCTGCAAAATTAAGAAAAAAATTTAAAAATTGTGTTCGGGCTTACCTTGTCTGCTTCAATCTCAGAATCGAGCCCCAAATCTCTCCATTTCAATGAAATCAGGAGTCTTGAAATATATGTATCTCTGTGATCATCAAAATCCCTAACTTTTATCGAAAAAAACTGAAAAACCAGGCCAAAATCAAAGGAATGGCGGATTTTTCATAACAAAATGAAGAACACAAAAAAATGCACCAAAAATTCGCCAAAATCGATCTAATCTTGGAGTTTTTGATTCTATATTGATGGATTTATAGAAGATTTGATGGTATAGTACAATAATTGAGCCAAAAAAACAAAAAAAGGTACAAAAATGTATCAAAAAGCTCCAAAAAATGGCGGATCACGAGTTCTGCCCAAATAATGGGCATTGTTACAAATAATGGCCGTTATTTGCTGTGGCGCCGTTATTTTGTTATGTCGCCCCATATAACGCCAAACCGAACCGGTTTTTACAAAACTGGTCGGTTTGGTCAAAAATTCGCCAGTTGAAGGCTTAACCGGCTGGTTTTTGAGCTGATTTTTTCAGGACGATGTGTTTTTTTACAAGTACACTAAAACCGGACCTAACCGGAATCGCCACCCCACTGGTAGCGAGCTAATCGGCCTGTTCCGGTTCCGACCAGCTGGTTTTTTGAACACTGATGACAACTTTCTTGGACTTTGAGCATGATCAGTGGCCCACCCCCAGTAGTACTAGTTCACATTTGATGGTAGGAGTGGTGATTGCGACCTTGCGCTAAAGGTAAACAGTCTTAGTGTAGATAGGAGTAGCAATGGGTTGGGTGGCCCTGCCCTAAAAAACTAGGGCTTGGGCCACAAAATATGGCTTGAGGACTGGGCTGGGGCTAGGGCCAAGACAGGTCTAGTTTGGTTCGGCTCAGCTCTCATATTCTCATCATTTTTCCATTGTTTTCCTTCAATTTTACCTAGCGCAGCCCTAACCATAGTACAATAGGCCGGGCTAGGGCTAGGTTGGTCCAGCCTGGGCCCTGCCCATTGCCAGCCCTAATTGTAGACTTATCCTATGCATACCTACATTTAGACATATTTGCATATACGAATGTCAAGCACTAAATCACCCACAATCTTGTAATCTATCTTGATTGTTCACAACAAATCCCAAAAAGAAAAAATGGAATTGGGAAGATTTCTTGTTCACAATGAATCCCAAAAAGAAAAAACGGAATTAAGGAGATTTCAAAAGTTTTGAAAGTTTTTCAGTTTCAAAAAAAAGTTTCGAAAGTTTTTATTTTTTTGTTTCTCTTAAAAAAAAAATGTTGGGAAGCTTTTTTTTTGGGTTTATTTTTATTTATTTATTTGGTTTTTTTTGGGGGTTTTTGGGGAGGGGGTGTGTCGGGGTTGGGTTTTTTGGGGGGGAGACCCCCAGCCTGTCTCGAGGCGCCATCTAGGTGTCTGAGGTGGGTGCCTTTTAAAGATCATATATTAGTACATGCATGCAGAAACTGTTGCTATATCAATTTTTAAGAACTAAGGCTCGGCTTGGGAATCCCCAGCTGCCCGAGGCCAGTTGACTTGCAGAGTCCCTAGTTCACTTGGCAAGTCTTTATCTTGCACAACTTGGATATTCTTAATAATATTCACTTATGGTTCTCATGGTTAGCCCTCCACAATCGTCTTCCTACTTCCTCTCTTCTGCAGCAACGTGATATTTCCCTAGCATCTTTTTGCCCTTTCTGTAAAAACAGTGATGATAGCCTATGTCATCTATTGTTTCAATGTGATTTTTCCTAGGGTTCCCAATGGACGAGTTGGGGGGTTTTAGGACTCGGGACCCTCACGAGCTGTGTGGGTTCTGATGCCTCCATGTTGAGGCATGTCCTTGTTCTTCAAATGCAAGTCAGTTTATTTATTTATTTTTGATACAGAAGTGCCAAAGTTTATTGGTCCACCATCTGTGTAAATATGTCTCCTTTAATGCAGTCCCTCAATGCTCGTTCCAGAGCCATGCTGATGCAGAAATTGGACCGTAGCGGTGCTGCAACAAGGTAAATGTTTCCCTAAGACCTCCCAGAAAATGTGGTCCTTATATTATTGACACTACAATTTCATTGTTCATTTTTGTATTCTTTCTAGTATCGCTGGTTCACTTGGCACACCCGCTGTGACTGGCCCTGCAGTAAGCTTACCATTACCGGCAGCTAATCTTCTCGGGAGTGCTCCCTTGGTTTCCCCCCTCATCTCTACACTTGGACAGCCTTCTGTGGCTGGTCTTAGTCTACCTATAGCTGCTGCGATTGCATCACCTGTCATTTCCATTGGAGTGCCTAGTGAATGCCTTCTTCTGAAGAACATGTTTGATCCTAAGGCGGAGGTATGTGGAGAAGTATCATTTTGGATTTTGATCGCTATGTTTCATTTAAAGATGTTCTGAACCAATGACATGCATTGCAGACAGAACCTGATTTTGATGTTGATATCAAAGAAGATGTCCAAGAGGAATGCTCCAAGTTTGGCACGTTGAAGCACATTTTTGTTGACAAGTAAGTCATGATGGTTTTAGAATATCCCATTCCCTCTTTCATTATTGTTGGATGACCATGTGCCACATATCCACAATTGCTCTTTGCAGGAATGATTTCTGATTGGTCAAAGAGTAGCATTATAGTTGTGATGTTGAGAGTTAGAAAAGCTTGTGCTTTAGTCTTGACTGTCCAATAATTATAATGTGGAGAGCTGAGAAGGATATGTGTCGCTGCTGACCTTTCAAAATTGTAATTTAATATTCCAAACTGAAATTGATTGCTAGATGTTGAACCCCCAATCTCTGAAATCATGAACCAAGTCCATATACTTCGAGTAGCTAAATGCTGAACGCTGACATATTTGCTGTTCCATCCCTACTGTCTATGTTTTACCAATGGCAGGATTAGCGAGGGGCATGTGTATTTGCGATTTGACAGTGCTACTGCTGCCATTGGTGCTCAGCGTGCTATGCATGGAAGATGGTTTGCTGGCAAGATGATCACAGCAACTTTCATGGTATCTATACTACTACTTTCGCATTTTCCGTGCTTTTTCATTGTGAACTTTGATGGTTTTCTAAAGAACAAAAAAAAAACTTTTATGGTTTACTGACAAACAATAACTGTTCTACAGCTACCTCAAAATTATGAGGCGAAGTTCCCCAACAGCAAGTGAGCAGACAGTTGGAGGCGGGTGAGCTGTTTTACATATGGCCTGATGGACAATTTCCGGTGTCTGGATGCCTGGACAACAGACCGTTATTGGTTTCTTTTATACATTTTGCTTGGTCTTAGAAGACGTCTTTTGAGGTCCTTTTTTGTAATGCTGGGGGGAGAGAAGAATGATTTTTGGTTGACGTTGCTTAGCCAGGGGGATTCAATGGTCTGTATGTCCTTGATGCAAGGTGCCTACCCTTATGTTTAATTTTTGCACCCGTATTTGCGGGCCTAGCACTCTGTACATGCTTAATTGTGTTCGTTAAGGAATTTAATTGGTTGGGCAGTTAGGGCCATAGGGTTCTCTCTCTCTCTCACATACACACGCACACACAGACAAGCTTCTCTTCTACGGTAAGTTCACTTAAATATATCTTAAATATCATCTATTTCATCGAGAGAGAAATGAGATTAACTTAAATCTAAGTGAACTTGCAGTTTATTTAAGTATTATATTTAAGTGGAATTTGCAGTGTTTAACTTAAATATAATCTATTTCATCGAGAGAAAATAAGATTATTTTAGTCTAGGAAATAAGAGTATTATTTATCAAGAAATGTATTCTATTTCTGCAGAGCTATCTTTATCTACAAGGAGATCATTACATGGAGTGATTCTTTTCATCCAATTTGTATCAGTTGCTTCGGCTTTGGAAATGTTTTTGAATTTCCTTTAACATAGATCTGATATATGAGTTGAAGTTGCACGTTGGTAAATCGAAAGAAAAGGTTTTAGGGTGAAATGAGATGGGATAAACTGCGAAAGCAGCAGGGAAATCAAAACATTCTAGTCTTTTCCTTTTCTACATTGGAAAAAAATTCCCATCACGCAGTGGAAACCTGTATTCGTGGCATGAACAATGCCAAAAAGAAAAAAACGGAAGTTCAAAATGTATTCATTTCTTTTCAAACTCATGATCATTATGATCAAGATTATAGATAGGTGAGATAATGCATGTGCTAATGAGGCGGGGGTTAAAGCTGTTCTTGAAAGGAAATGCTAGGAGAAATGGTTTTTGGGAAAGTAGATTCCCTTAATACTATTACATGGCAGAAGATTCCATGGAATTTACTAGCTATGCTATTTGATCTGTACATCTTTACAGAGAATTGAATATGGAGGCTGATTGGTTGGCTAGGAGCTGGTCGAGATTCTTTACTTTTTGTATTGGGGGATGGTTAATAAGTTGTTAGCTTGTCCGTCTCTGACAACTTTATTAATAAAATAGAAGTAAATTTGCTAAAAGAAGATGGATTCAAAATCAACTTCTTTCTTTATGGTTTATAGATATGTGAAGAAAAATTCAAAATCTCCTTATATATTTTTTTTATCATGATAGCTGAGAGATTACATAAATTTTGAAATGCTAGAGGATCTCTAAGATGAAAAAGGGGGCAACGATTGATAAACAAAATTAAAGTGTGGACGCCTAATTTAATTTTGTTTTTAAATTCTAAAACACTGCAGCATACTATCCTAGTGCATCATAGGTTACACTACTATAGTCAACCCTAGACTAGAGTCTAGTCTAGAATACTCTCAATTATGGTTAGAAATACCAAATAATTTGAGTTAGACAATATTTCAAGCTCAGTCAACTAGAGATTTTTGGAGCAGAAATGGCAGGAAAATATATCGAAATCTGCATCAGCCAAAATCGACAGCAACGCAGAGCATGCTGCTGGACGCAGAAGGCTCTGACGTGTATCGTGTCGCTGACACATGCCAACCCGGGATTTGTGTCGACTTCTTGTTTTGGGTACATTTTTTACCCTTTTTCCAGCCTTCAAAAGAATCCACAATACGTAAACCTGCCCTCTAGATCTAAGCTCTAATCCTAGTTCATCAGATTTAGGCCCTAGATCTAGGAACTATAATTCATATATAAGCAACTTTTTTTATTAAAAAAAAAAACCCTGGAAATAAAATTCTAGATGACACTCTCCGAAGAACTACGTTCATTTATTCGGATCTAAAATCTCGAGGATCAAAGAGCATAGACCTAATCTTGGGCACAACTTCGGGTGTGGGACCTGAGGGCCAGGCTTCCAAGTTCTTACATTTTATTTTCCGTCTTGCTTGGTTTCCATTATTTTATGCATTTATTTCAAATTTTACACAAGCCTAAGCAGACCGGGCTGCAGATGTTAAACAAATTGAACTTTGAGTAGTCTGGAAATAACATCTAAACAATTTGGCCACATACGTATCAATGGAAGACAACAGTTACACAAAAGTGGGCATGCATTGAGAGAGCAAGTAATGGTGTTTGTAACGGGGAAACAGAAATTGTTCTGGTGCAGCACATGTAGGAGCAAAAGTCTCACTCTCTCTTAAACTCTCTATTATCATTATTGCGGCCGTAGTGTCTCAGAGAAGCACATGGCGTGTGCACTCAACACTTTTAATAACAAGAATCCAAATCTACCCTGGTGGGTATATGACATTGTTGGCCATGTGCTCCTCAGTACATCTTTTCTCATTTATTTTCCTCATTTATAACTGCATCTCCTCTCATTAATTTCTACAATTTGCTACTCATTTACTGCTGCATCTTCTCTCATTAATTTCTAGAATTTGCTATTCATTTACTGCTGCATCTTCTCTCATTAATATCTAGAATTTGCTACTCATTTACTGCTGCATCTTCTCTCATTCATATCTAGAATTTGCTATCCATTTACTGCTGCATTTTCTCTCATCAATATCTAGAATTGGCTATTCATTTACTGCTGCATCTTCTCTCATTAATTTCTACAACCCAAGTTTGTTTAATACACTAGTTGAGGGAAGGGAGACTCCCCTTCTTGCCAATAAAATAAGAAGAAGAAGGAGCCTTACACCAAACAATCCCAATGAGTCCTCTCACCACACAAATACATACACACATGGTGGGTGGCAGTAAACAATGCATGCGTAGCGGGCTTGCTTTGTTCCATTTTCTACAAGCACGCCTCTGCTTGCTATGCGGTGAAGCTCACTGCACACGCTGGTTCTACGAAAATTGGAGTGAAGTTGAGAAGGTTTGGCCAAACTGCCAGTCAGGTGGTGCAACATCGGGGAATTCGACGGTGGTTCCGTCGGTGTTGGCTATGCGGAATGAGAGGCCCTGGCTGTTGAGATATGAATTGCTCTGCCAGTTCGCTCCCCAGTTCCTCGACATCCTCTGCCAGTCGCCCTCGCTTCCCTTGATCCACACCGCAGAAATGGATCCACCGCCACCCACATTGCTGATCAGAACCAGTTCAAAGTAGGACCTCCCATTTATCGTGAACCGGATGCCCCCGTGCTTCCTACAAGGGACACTGCACCAGACGAAATTGGATCTGTGATAAGTTTTAACGAAATTTTATATTGGCTGCCTACCTAACACAACTTTGCCGCATGAGATTCAATTCTTTAATTACAAAACCAAATTGAAAAGAAAAAACAGCAGTAGTAGTGGTATTGGCCAATACCTTCTGTAGAGAATAGGAATGATGCCTCCTCGGTAGATACCAATCTTCTCCCATGCAGGCTGCGCCATGTCAAAGTGCTGGAGAGGGGGGTTGCACCACCCACCGTCGTCGTTGGGGAGAGCAAAGTTCGGAGGGCAGAAATTGGTGGCAGTGATGGTCACGGACTTCCCGGGCAGGCACCATCTGGGGTCGGTCTTGGTATCACAGACAATCTGGTAACACTGACCGCAGGACGCCCCGTCGTTGAAAAGAGCAGTGCTAAGAGCAGCAGTTCTGGTGCCATAGCCGGTCGAGTAGAGGTTCCCATAGCCGCACGCACCGCCCATAGTTCCCGACGCGTCACTCCCACCGTAGAATGTGGCGTGGGCTGATGTCCATGGGCCCACACTCATGGCCTCTGTGTACAAACCCGAAGCAGCAAGGAAGATCAACAGACCAACCATGGGAGAAGCCATTATCATGGTTATGGTCATTAGTGTCATATGAGAGAGAGAAAGAGAGAGAGAGAGGAGTTCTTGAGCATGGAATACAGGGCAACTTAAATAGAGAGGAAGGCATGTGAAGGGTGCACGAAATCAGGGAGTTAAAAGAGATGTTTAATGGGGTGGGCGGTGATGCTGATATCTGGTAACATTGGGGAGAGAGCTGAGGTGGTTTGAGAGAGATTCTCTTCAATTATTCCCACGTTCTCCACCCCTCGCATCCACATGCTCATAAGCCCAAACCTAATAACACCAAACAATTTATAAACAATGATTTGCAGAGAGAGCATTTCACTCCCAACCGACGAGTCCTCTAGGCCTTGGTAGCTTCCACAAAATAATATCAAAATTTTCAGCTGCTTTCAAAACAAAGTTTGCATTTCTCGCGAACAAACATGAAAAGTAGGAGTCTTCTTGGTACCTTCCACAAAATAATATCGAAAATTTCAGCTGCTTTCAAAACAAAGTTTGCATTTCTCGCGAACAAACATTAGAAGTACTACAATTGTGGATGCCGTGAACCAAACACGCCTTAGACTATGGGGATGTAACCCATTCAGTTGGGTTACCGACATAAAATTGATTAAAAAAAATTGAGAAGCACTTTATACATGTTTGAATATTGAATAGAGATTGTTTAATTTTTGTACCATCAAATTTAAGTGTTTAAGAAGTTAAAATCTAATTCAATTTTTTTTTTCATCTTAAAATTTGTGAAGGGTCTTAGGTTTATCTAAAGATATTCAATGTCTATTTATCAATATGAATATACAAGCTTGTCTTATATAAACAACTACAAATGACAAATATAAATAAATTACAGACACCTAAATTATAGGTAGATTTACCCTAAAATACACGATACTTCACCCACCCTTCCCAAATATATAGATTACAATATACATATTCCATATTACTTGATAGAAAATATTTAATTTCCTTTCACACTCCTCCTCAAACTCAAGATTCAGAGCAGTTAGAGTTTGAACACTCAGTTGCAGAAATGAGCAGTTGGATCTTCAGGTGCATACTCAAATTGCTTGTTCAGCAAGCATAGAAATCAGCGGCAGATCAACAAGCCTCAGAAACAAAAGGCAAGAACATAGCAACAATTCAGAGTTCAACAATAAACAAAAACTTCAGATCTTCACCAGAGATTGAAAACAGTCGAGTCAGCCGAGAAAACAGAATGACACTTGATCAGACAAGATCGAGTAACAGAATAACATACTCGATCATGCAGTTTAGAACATGATTGAGTAACAGATTCGATCGTACATGAATAGGCACATCGAAGATGAACCTGACTCTGATACCATGTGAATAGTTTCAGGTTTCTCTGAAGAGCCTCAAATATCCATTTATCAATATGAATATACAAGCTTATCTTATATAGATAAATACATATATAAATATATAAATAAATTACAGACACTTAAACTATACTCAGACTTACCATAAAATACAAGATACTTCACCCACCCTTCCTAAACAAACAGATTACAATATACACCTTCCATATTAACTTGATAGACAATATATACTTTCCTTTCACAAAATTAACTCTAGCGATTCTTAAGTGGTGCCCAAAATTTTAGACCGAAAAGAATCCTCCTAAGTAGTTCTTTCACCCCCCCATGGGAGAAGTGTGCTGAATCCCCTTTGGGAGGATAACTTTGGGAGGATAACATGCGCACTAATAATTAATAAATACATATTTAAAGTTCTTGTTAAACCAGGTTGCATTCATGCAAGAGTTTCAAACCCAGAGAGAGAGAGAGAGAGAGAGCCCAAAAGCTTAATACATATTTAAAGTTCTTGTTAAACCAGGTTGCATTCATGCAAGAGTTTCAAACCCAGAGAGAGAGAGAGAGAGAGAGAGAGAGAGAGAGAGCCCAAAAGCTTAAGCATGTAACTCGAGATGGTTTCCTGGGGTGGAAGGTGCAGAGAGAGAAAGACAATGGAGATTTGGACCCGACTCCAAAGGGATGAATGGAGTGTTTGTGCGTTTTTTTTACGCAATATCCCCTGTGCGGATAATAAAAGAGACGATTGGCTTTCAGACACCAAATACGCTTAAAAAAACCACGGAAGCACGTGCTTGATAAAGCTTATGCTTTGGAGAGCCCCTATATAATATCATCTCAGCCCTAGAAAGAGCACAAGAGTGGCCCCTAATGCTATGAAGATATTTCCCAAGTTTCAGCCCGATTGAGTGAGGCTACTAGGAGATATGAGGAAAGTGAGATAAAAGAGTACTTTGCCCTGTAAGTGTACAGATAAACAGTACAACAAAATTCTTAGAAATTGACCTCAGATGGCCTCCGAACCATTGCATAGGACTTCAGAATGTCAAAATACCCCAACCCCTGAATTTCAGTCCGGATGGACCTTTCTAGGCGGCGCTACTTCCAAATATGGGTGGTTTCTATACTATTTAGGATTTCACAGCTTGAACAAGTTTTCAACAATAGCAAAATCCTGTTACACTTCTTAAAAAATGGGCGAAATTTGTATCATTAGATCTCTCCATTCGCAGGCTGGATAAAGCCAAATTTTGGATATGTTGTGGTCCTCGACGAGCACAATCTTTGGTGTAAGGCTCGCACATTATCGTCGACCAGATTGAAATATATCCCAAAGAGAAGTCCGCAAGTTCCCAAGCACATACAAAAATCAATTTGCGTGACCTCTTTGCACTTCGACGACAATAATTCTATATCCAACTGTTGGATCAAACTCAAATTTAACGCACTACAATCATGACTCGATGATATTCAATTTGACATAAGAGAAGTTGCAATCCGGGTGCAAGAAAAAGTCCATCCAAGGCTCGAAAATGGGCACGATTTTTTAGATACAAAAAATTGATTTTCTGATAACTTGCAGGAATCATAACTTGGTCAATCAGAGATCATTTCACATGATTCTCATTGCAAAAATATCGTGTTGACTAATAAAAAAATCACAATAAACTCGGTATTTTAGAAATAATTTTAGAAAAGTTTACATGAAAATCATGAAACCCAAAAACATCAAGGACCTCTTCATCAAATATTTGTAGTTCATTGCAAATCATATATAAAAACGATCGTAGCGAGACAATCTATATTTTCCTGATGATAGATCATTCGTTCCGGTGCTGAAAATGCCACAACCAATGACCCATTTTATGTGGGTGGGGAGAGGTCCCTTTTTAGTGTAGATATCCCCCTCGAAATTATGGCTAAGGGAGTTCGTAAAACCTTGGTTATGAGTCTAAAGGATCACACTAACCTTAAGTGACCTAAACCTAATAGAATTATCACAAAACCACCTGAAACTTATTTCAATACCCTCACGTAATCACCTTAGACACTCATGAACCTTGTGAACCTAGAAAATTGACCGGAATCCTGATAAAATATCCTGAAACCTAAAATCGAGACCCTAAAATCCTAGCATTGTAGGCACATAAAAAATACCTCAAATTTGATTCCAAATTTTAGAGGAGGTCGCAGGATTTGTAATGGTCCAAGAGTAGACTGAATCTGACTTATGTTTAAAAAGTTATAGCCCGGGGGAATTTGTTAAAAGAAATAATAATTTAGTCCCTATCGAGGGTGGACACGCGTTAGCGTGTGACACACCGCACAACCTGATGGGCAAGAAAATGGGTCACTATGCATTTTAAGCCCGTTTTGACTTATTTTGAGTCTGTTTTTTTATCAAATTTTTTTTTTTAAAAAAAACCTAAACCTAATCCTAATTGAACTAGGAGATTATAACAATTAATTTCCACCTTAACCCTACTTCAAGCCTACAAATAAGATAAAATCCCGAAATCATTAGAAAATAGGATAAAATCCTTAAAAAATAGGATAAAATCTCGGAATTAGGAAAATACCTGAAAGTATGAAAAACCTTAAGAAATTCCTAGAAAATTAAAAAAATCTTGAAAAATCCACAAAAATATCAAAATTGGATTTTACTATACGAGATCCCAAAAACCTTAGAAAATTAAAGAAAACCTCTTTAAATCCCAAGAAAAGCCCAAGTAGATTCTCCTAAGAATAGCTAGGTTTATTCTTGCCTTAGAAACCCAAGTGAAAATCTTAAGATCCACCAATTCCAATAAGCAAAAAACATCCAAAAAAGAAGATGGTGGAATTATACACAAGTCTTAGTAAAATTGTCTATTATTAATTACTTAGTAAAATTTAAAAATATTGAAAAGTAAAATACATAGATCTTGAAGCTGACACTCCTAGTGGACTCAAGAAAGAATCATATATGGATAGATTTGTATTGTTTCTGAGCCCATAATTTGAGCGACCTCACTTTCTCAACTTTTTCATAAATTTTAACCCAGTTTTACAAAGATTTGAGTTAATCTCACCATGAGATCGGTACAAATCGGAGTGTAAACAGTTTGGCACCTATCGTGGGGGCTCTCGAGCTTCAAATCTGTATATTTAGACTGTTAATTTCATCTTAAAAATTTCAGATTTTATTTTTCATAAAAATTAATAATAAAAGAAGAACCCCAGATCTTTTGGAGGACACGTTTTGAATATATATATATATATATATATATAAAAGATGGGATTAGCCCACTAACTCATATGAACATATGAGCGCAACGGCCTATATTGAATATGGGCCGATCTGACGATCACAGATGTCCGGTAGTATTTGAATTTTATTTTATTTTCTAAATCATTTGAAATTTTAGGCGTGTATTCTTCTCATCAATGCGCACCTAATAAAAATATAAAAAAAATTATTTGTAAAAACAAAATGACCAAAATATCCCCCGCAACTTTTCAGAGGTATTTTGGTCAATTTATTTAATATAAAATATTTTTTTGATATTTTTCAGAGGTTCACCTATTTTTGATAAACACACGCCTATAGGCAAAAATAAATAGTGATTTTTCCTACCCTCATCACCATCCAAAGTTCATCGTACGGTCACGATTGTTCGGCAGTGTTTATTTTTTATTTTTTTATACAAATCAGAATGATCTAAACTTTGGAATGTGTGTTCATAAAATAAATTGATCAAAATACCCTGAAATGTTTCAGGGGTATTTTTGTCAATTATGTTTTACGAATTATTTTATTTTATATTTTTATTAGGTGCTCCTCACTAGGATTTATGTACGCTCCAAATTTTAGATCATTCCAATTTATAGAAAAAATCTGAAAAATGAAACATTACCAGATGATCGTGATCGTGCGATGGACTTTGGACGGTGATGAGGTTAGGCGAAATCATTGTTCATTTTTGCCTATAGGCGTTTTGTAGTATCTTTCATTCAGTTCATTCAGATTTATAGAAGAAAAATAAAAAATGAAACACTATCGGACAATCGT